CATGATTAATTTTTCCCTCTTGATGAATTAATTTGATGAGTACCTGCTATTAATATTTTGTCTGTTTGTAATTATTTTTTCCTATGCCTGTAATTATTTTCGTGTTCTTTTTAACTTTTCCATGCGTCACAATTATTTTTTCCTCACAAGGAATTAATTTTTTTATGTGCCGTCTTTATTATTACGCTTCTTTGAAATTATTTTTGTCCATTACACAAATTATTTTACGGTTGCGGATTAGTTTTTTGTCTGCTATAATAATTTTTTTGGGATAATTAATTGATTTTGTCCTACGCAACTCATAATATAATGATAATTTAATTTTTTCCATTCGAGAATTATTTTTTTCTTAGTCATAATTATTTTTTCGTAGTTTTGGCAAATGTCCCATAAGCCTCTGCGGTAATGCACCTAAAACAAACATGGCGGCTCATACTCGTCGGTCACGCCCAGTGGTGTTATGAGAGAGAAATGAACGTGGGTTCGCACTTTTCTTAAAGAATCTAAAAAGCGTTCTTAATCTGTTGGCTAGTGTTGATGAGTTAGAGACAGACGTTCTGATTCAAACGAGGAGTCGATTAGTGGATGCTTCGGGCACGTTGTCACTTCTGCTGAATGACATGTCGAATGGTTTCACAAATGCTACTGGTATTCCGTCAAATGCGATTCAAGTTCCTGTGCAGCACCTGAAGAATTCTTTAACCCACATAACTGATTTGCTTTCAAGTCGTATAGAAGGCCGCAACAATGTAGACTTTTATGACTCACTGGATATATCTTATTCTACACCGCTGAATCTTTCACAGACAGGACGAGGCCGTAAACGCTATGAAATAACTAAAGACCAACTGGAACACTTACAATCGCTTTATTTTTCTTGGGAAGCAATTGCTCGCATTCTTCAGGTTAGTCTTTCAACCCTTCAGCGGCGACGAAGAGAACTCGGTGTGAACACCCCAGCCTATTCAGAAATATCAGATGACAAACTGGATGAAATTTACAGAAGCGTACCTGGCAGTTCAAGCACCGGACCCCTTACCCCCAACATTGGTAGGAGACGATTTATAGGAGCCCTGAGGAGTAGAGGCTGGAGCATTCAAAGATGGAGAGTAAGTGATTGTTTAAGACGTATGGATCCTGTTGGAACTGCCCTGCGCTGGAGAATGACTATTCACGGTAGAAAATATTATGTACCAACCCCTAACAGCCTATGGCATATAGATTCGGGCCACAAATTAATAAGGTACAAGTTGATAACACGTCTGTATTGATGGGAAAACAAGGTTAATTCTGTATGCTGCTTGCAGAGACAATAACAAAGCAGAAACAGTCCTTTCTTTGTTTCAAAATGCGGTGCAGAAATGGGGGTTACCCTCACGCGTCCGATGTGACTACAGTATGGAGAATTATCATGTTGGTGCCTACATGATACAGCACGGCGGACCAGCCAGAGGCAGCATCATTACTGGATCATCTGTCCATAACTCTCGAGTTGAGAGAACACATCGTGATGTCTATTCTGGGGTGTTAGCATTCTATTCCCGTGTTTTTCAACAACTGGAAGATGAAGGCAACCTTAATGTCCTAAATGATGTTCATATTTTCAGCTTACATCACATCTACATTCCAAGAATACAGAATTCTCTAGAGGAGCTTGTCAGTCAAATGAATAATCGGCCAGTATCAACTGAACGAAACCATTCACCACTTCAAATGTGGGAGAGGGGTATGTTAGAGAACTTGCACTCTGGACATACTGCACTGAGTGAGGCTGAGATTGAACATTTGGGGGTAGATCGAGATGGTGTGCTTTCAGTGGAGGTTGAGGATTATCAGGTAGAGATTGATCCACCATTGGTCAGCCTTTCAGAAGAACAGAAAGGAGAACTTCCAGATCCTCTCACAAATGATGGAAACAGTGGAAAAGATATTTACTTGCAATGCATTGAGGTCGTTAATGGATTTCTTTGCTCTAGTTAAGTATTCTAGGGTGAATTGAACCAATCACACAAACACTATTGTTGTATTACTATGGGCGATGTAAATCCCAAATGGGTCCATACTTGTATACTTCAGCAAGATTGCTATTGACAGTTGTTATTTGTACACTCAAATTGTATTTTTACTGTATTTTAATTATTACAGTATAGTAAAAATCCCATTTCAAAAATTCCAAGATACAAAGTGGCCTGCAGCCATACTAAGGGCCATTGTTGTTGAGAAGTTCCTCAGATTAATGGACTGTCTACCTTTTACCAGTTCTACAAGTGAAAAACAGAAAACTGAAGTTTTGGTAAAATGATGTTGTCTATGAAAAGGCCTCATTTTAGAATATCTTATTAAATACTTTTAATTGTCCAATTATGTCTCACTGTTGTGTCTCATGGGGTGATTACACCGTATCAGGAATCAATAATCAGCGATGCAATTTTATTTATTATGCTTATGCACTTAACCATCTCCTAGGGGAGACCTCAGGCAAGTACAGTGTTGTATGGAGACTTTCAGCGGGATTTGAAGAACAATAATATTATTTTACCCGGAAGGTTGGGGAAATGAAGGAGTTTTAGTATCCAAAAGTCATGCACTGCATGGACTTATATATGTCTGATTTAGGTAGTGTGATTAGGGCTTATTGTGTTTTAATCTGTTGTGTGCCTTTATAGGCGCCAGGAGGTACTCCTCACAATTCTTGGTGGGGATGTGTCACTGGTTCTCGAAACCCTCACCCTATTTCAGACTAAAAATTGCCACTTTTCCACATGCATTTTAAAACCCAACCTCAGAAGTGAACAAGAATAAGCTGTGAAACTTGAATGATATGTTTTACTCGGTTCTCTGTCTTGTTAATTCAGTTTGGGTTGAAAACGTTTACATTTGTTTGTTTTACTTCCAAACCGGGTATAAACCATACTCGAGTTAAAACCATAATGTGAAATCCTATGCACATTTTAAGACCAAAACGACTTCAAAACCACACCCTTAAGGGCGGCACATACCTATATTGCCTATATAGGAGAGTACCCCTCTCCCCCTCCTTGTATAGTCTTACCACACAGACTGAAATGGTTGCCACTATTGTTATAGACATTCTGTAAGTGCTAATCCAATCCCTAGTGGTACTTCATATTAGAAGCAAGAACACACACTGACAATCTAGCCATGTGGCAAGTTGAAAAATCAAAATAATATTGTTGAAAAAACGCGTTCCCAATTATCTTTTTGTTATTATATTGTATTGTTCACAACAAATGAGAATAATTTCACAGTTAAAAATGTAATTTACATGATCAAACTTTACTTCTGTTAGTCAAGTCAAGAAAGCTCTATTATGGTACCGTTTTTTACTCTGGAGTGTTTTCATGTTGCTCAACATGATCCCCCTCTGGGAGGGGGATTTGATTGCCTGGACAACCCCATAAACAGCATCCTACACTAACTCCGTTCGCTTCCCTGGGTTTCCCTAAGGGATGGGTAGTGATAGTGCAGTACCTTGAACTCAGACTACTGTCAATCCTACATAAAATCAGTGAAACCGAAAGGTTATTGTTTTTGGTGGAAGGGTGATTGAGTTCCACATTAAATCACTTAACTATTTAAAAAAGAGGATGAAACAAGTGTCCTTTGCTTGGTACATAATGTAGTGGGAAGGTTTTCCCCCTCAAATGTTCTCAATTGTTACAATGAACATTCTTTTTCATCTCTAGTCCTTGCTTTACGGGTTCAAGGTGACTGTTATGTAGTGTTTATTTAAGGTAAATTATATGACAACACACAGACAAATCAACATGTTTATTAACCTATATAACTAACAGTAACAAAACATTCCTTGAAGAAAGGAGTGTCTCAGGACACTAATCAATGATGCTGGTCACTAAAACTGTCATACTTAATATTAAGCAAGCTCCTATAAAAAAGTACTTTCCTTTCAAAATAAGAGGAGTTGCAAAAAGTATGTATCTCCACCCTTGGCAAATAACTGACCCACAAAATAATAACAAAAATGACATTGTCGGTGAAAAACTTTAAATTCAATTTCTTCAAAAATGTTAAGAATAATATATCTTTACTTGCATTAATGAAGACAACTCAACTTACTAAATTTGGTGACTTTTTGATAACATAAATCAATAAAGCAATCTAGGCTTGTAACTCTAAACCATTTTACTTCTTGCCAAAGTAACACTGCGAGAATGCCAAGTCATACAGGGCAAACAGTCTCTGGGTAGAGGGCAAAGGCAATGCATCAGTCGGTCTTGGAACCTGAAGCAAATTGGTGCAGGTATGAGCTAGAGGCAGGAAGCCACCCTCCACATTTGGGTGTTGCCCTTCACTAAGTCCTTGCTGACTTGTAACTTTCAATTCTGTGGGTAATATGAACTCCAACGACGGAGCAAGCGTAAAACCAAGGACAGGTTCCTCTGGTGAACCAGTGGCAAATTGAAGAATATGACTCAAATTAAGGGTAGTCTTTCCACATACCCTCCTGGAAGCTGCTACTTCACGAACATATCTAACAAAGAGTTGATAAACTTCTTTTTCCTTTTTGAGTGCATTAGACCCCTCCTCTGAAAACTGTGGCTTCAAAATGTGAAGCAGCATTTGCACTCCAAGCTTCTGCTGTCCTTGAGGTCTCAGGAGATGAATCAACATTGGCAGCTCCTGAAGGGCTGATAACATTCCCAGCACTTCGAGACCATGTTGAAGTTTGGCAACACAAGGATCCAAACACACGCCTTCAGAAACAATTTGCTGCAGACTATCCTCCTCTACAAACAAAGGCAGCTGACCATTTTGAAGCATGGCTATTGCCATCATTATTCCAACATTAAAATAATCTTCTGCCAACAATGGCCTTAAACCATGGTCAAAGTATTTTTGTTTTATGGCTTGGTTCGTTAATCTTATCCATTCTTTTCGTGGCCCACCATAATCTACACATTCCTCTCCCATAAAGTCCACCTGAAATGTCAGTCTGTAGTTGGATATATATTGAAAGTTCAGCAAATGTTGTTTCTAGTATATTGTCTGTCGACTGTTATGTAATTTGTTTCTCCTTCAATGGTGTCTTCTGAGCTTGTGATTTCTAAGGGTCTTCCAGTTACTATCTCCTTCTGTAGATATTTCAGCACCTCTACGGGGTCACTCAACTGTCCCTCTTTAGCACCCCTGATGATCGAGTTAATGTTCAAAGAACTCGATTGTGACTGACTCTCATTGGCATTGAGTGTTGAACTTTCGTCTGGATTAGAGGATTCAGTGCCATTTGCTGAGTTTTGACGACACAATCGTTCTCCATCTGGAGTATCGGTCAAGTCTATACACAAGCCTGGATCACCCGGATCACCTGTGTCTTCAACAGCAAAAGGAGAAACAAAAAGTTTTTTATCACTAGGATCCATGAAAGAATATGGTAGCTCCTCTAGCAGTCTAAGATATACCCATCCTAACGGGGCAATTAATTTGAGTAGAAGCTTAGCATCAATGTCTTTTCCTGCAGGGAGATTTGGTCTTATCAGGGTGCCGCCACTATTCTTGACGATTTCAAAATACAGTCCCTCCATATAACCTAGTAGTAAACGTGATATTTCGTTGTGAAGTGTTTTGGCATCCCACTTCAGGGGTCGAAATGTTCCCAGACTCTTTACCTGTGTCTGGTGATAGGTAAAATATTTTTTTACCTGTCTCCACCAACATCCAAGCTGAACAATAATTTAAACATTTATTTCCCTTTTTTTAGCGATAACAAAATTGAACTGTGGTTTTACAATTGACAATATTAGTAATAAAATGATAGAAGCAATGAATGAAGCAATTTTCGTTTTTGGCCACAAAAAACGCAGTTGTGAACAGGTTTTTCATGAGGTCAGTGTTGTGGTTTTCCATGTTAATCAGCGCTTTGACGATGGGCTGCTCTGCTGGACGTTTTTTACTGTTTTAGAACGCCGAGTGGCTAGTTTTATGAGCATTGCTTGCTTCATGTGAGCGGACATTCTCCATGCGCATCGATTCACAACCTGTGATGAATTTGTTTCTGCTTGTTTTGTCAAACACTTTGCAGTAAGAACAGAACATCTTTCCATCCTCCAACGACAACCACGGGCGCCCATCTTTCCATTTCTCATTGAACCTGAATACTCGTACATTATTACGTTTCGTTGTCGGTGCTGCCAAATTCTCTTCTACATGAACTTCTTCCACTTCCGCTTCGTTAGCACTTTTTCGCTTTAGCAGAAAGCGATCCATATCATTATCTGATTATAATGTTTCGATCGACGAAGAAGCAAAGCAAGTCATATGGCATTTGTTATCTTGTCATGCGCACTACAAAGATTGCAGCATCTCGTTTTTATTGAGTAGAGTCTAGTAACTACCGCATATACCGTGCGAGTCCCGTGCGAGAACTCCGATGAACTGAACGAGTGAGCACGCATGCTGGTGGAAAATGGATGGAAATATTATTCAAATTGATAAATTATGAATTATTGAGGTTTTTCTTACCTGTCGCCAGCGACAGGCATCAATATTTTTTACCTGTCACTTCCTAAAATTACCTGAAATCGACAGGTAGACAGGTATTATTTCGAACCCTGCACTTTCTATTGATGTCAAAACCCAAAATGATTCTGCCGGATCTTTCCAATTCAGCTTTCTCGGATTTTGTTGGTATTTTCTCTCTTCCAAAATCCAAGATTACAATATCTTTCGAGACTGTTTCAGACGTCAATGGTCTCCCAACTGTGCGTCTTACGTTAGGATACGGTCGGAAAGTATTGGATCTTTCATACCTTCCTGTTGCAGCATTCCTGCTTGACCTTGCTGAAACTGTTGGGAATCGCCTTCGTAATTCCTCCAAAGCAGTACCAGCTCGTGGAGTCGCTACTTGCAGCTCGTTTGAAGACGTTGATGCCGCTGTTGGCCTTTGTTCCACTAGTGAAACAAGCTGTTGGATGTGGCTGATTGCAGTGCTAGCAATGGACTGAATAGAAGCGGGATCGTTGTTGGAATGGTTTGAAGACGCCATGTTTGTTTCAGAAAGCACATGGCAAGAGCTTCGCCGCAGAGGCTTATGGGACATTTGCCAAAACTACGAAAAAATAATTATGACTAAGAAAAAAATAATTCTCGAATGGAAAAAATTAAATTATTATTATATTATGAGTTGCGTAGGACAAAATCAATTAATTATCCAAAAAAAATTATTATAGCAGACAAAAAACTAATCCGCAACTGTAAAATAATTTGTGTAATGGACAAAAATAATTTCAAAGAAGCGTAATAATGAAGACGGCACATAAAAAAATTAATTCCTTGTGAGGAAAAAATAATTGTGACGCATGGAAAAGTTAAAATGAACACGAAAATAATTACAGGCATAGGAAAAAATAATTACAAACAGACAAAATATTAATAGCAGGTACTCATCAAATTCATTCATCAGGAGGGAAAAATTAATCATGCAATTTTGACCAGAACGGGCCTTCATATTTTTCTACCGCTACCGCTACCAGTTGATTGCCTGTCATTTCTAAATCTGGTAGGAGAGTGATGTCTCAGTGCATTGGTTTACATGGTTTTCATCTGGCTATAATGATCGTTCTTCCAAACATTTTTGTGCAATATCCAGCGGTCTTTTGTTATTTACTTCACCTGGTATCATTTCCTTATCTTTTTCATCTTCGGAACACTTAGATTCTGACCTACTGTTTGCCAAATAGGCATCTAGTGTACGACCAATAGATTGTAAGTACACCTTTTGCTCAGCGTTTGCAAAGTACAAATGCTTGTTCTTGATGGCACTTATTTTTGCTGTTGCAGATACCACCTTCACAACTCTTTTTTTTGGCTAGACATGAAAATTCACTTTTCTGAACAGATTTACAGATTAGAGATTTTACTGTTTTTACGCTGTTTACATATTGGTTACATTGGAATTTAAATTTATGTAAGTTCCTAGACTTGCTCACAAATCGAGCTTTTGAGTGCGTAGCACGACAGTGAGCGCAAAGTGCGATCGTACGAGCACCGAGCGTGAGGCGCGAGCGAAAGCTCGACTTGTTTCCCTTGCAGAGAATCACATCAAGTGACGTCATTTGGGCGCGAACTTCTCAGAATGCTGCATGCAGTGCTGCCTGTCAAACTGTGAAAATACTTTTCGCACCTCGCGAAATCGATCAATGGTTTGGTAATGGAATGGAGGAGGAAAATACACCAAAACAAGGTGCGATTAGGCGAAGAGCTTCGACAAAGAGAAGAGCTTTATTTGCAAGTGAGGCAGATTTAGCTTTGTTGACAGTAAAAGAAGTGACCAATGCTGACCCAGAGCCAAAACCTCTTCTCAAGACAAGAGATGCCTGTATGCAGACAAAGCCTCAACTCGCAAATACTGAAGAAAAGAGCTCATCGGTGGACGTAAGTAATTTTCTCGCCTTTGAAATTTTTCACGACTGTGTAGTTCGGGCGGATCTCGCATTAGCTAATCAAAATGATTCGAAAGACTTCGGGTAGACTTTCTCAAAGTTGTTCGCACGGTTTTCTGGTCTGGTGTGGTAGGATCCTACGCGCTCAAAAGCTCTACTTGTGAGCGAGTCTATTAGCCAGGCAATGATCACGTTAGTTTTTATTTTTGTTTTGTTCTCAGCCAAATTTACCTCCAAACTTCAAGACATACACACATTGTCTTACACAAAAATATAAAAATCTTCTTTTGATATTGCAGCACTATACTCTCTGTTAGTAAGCAAATCCTTTTTTATAAAGAATCAAGGCTGACATCTTTTTATGGAGTCCATTTATTTTATTTGGAGCTTATTATGTCATTTATGGAGATGTAAGCAAGCTAAAGAGCAAAGCAACATAAACAAACCTTTACCTCATTATATTAATTTACCTTTTACTGTAGACTTTTAAAAGATCAACTATTGATCTGTTGCTTTAAAAGACTAACAAGTTTTAATTAATTAAACTTATTCTATTTTCCCACTCAGATTGTCATCAATTTCCCTAACCACCTTCCTCGGAAGGTACATCTGAAGGAAGATTTGTATACCACTGGTAGGCAACTGGCCACTGGAACTTTCAAGTCTGTTGCTGCTACCCTAATGAAGCACCAAGGCATGAGGGATGCACTGTATGAAGAAGCATGTGATGGTGTCAACCAAGAAATAAAAGATTTATGCTCCATAGGAGAACCTTCACTGCTAAGAGCCACAAGCGCTGAAGATTTGGCCTGCATAACATGGGAGAAGATTAATAATGAATTTAAGGACAGAGCTCCTAGATTCCACCAGTTCTTGAAGAAAGTTGGACTCCAAAGATTGTCATCTTTATACCATAGCATGGGTTACAAAGCCAAGAACACGATGTTTGATAAAGATTTGAAAGTCTGGAAAGAAACAGTGGAGAAAGATTCAAATAAGGAGAGGAGCCTCATTGAGAAAGAAATGAAGAAGAACACTCTCAAGCCAAAGGTGAGTTGCAGAACCATAGGCATGCACCCTGGGTACTCCTTCACTGGGGACAATGTGGATATAAGGTGCAAACCCCGACAAATGACAATGAAGAACCGAAACAAAGATCACCACATTTTTCAGTTGGTGGCATTTCAAAACAGAGTGTCTCCGAACCATCTGCCAAATGATGCACCCTAGAGTGATGTCATGAAAGAGCCATTTACAACATTCCTACCAAGTGTCGATGAGCAGGCTCAACTTGTTGAAGAATTGGTCATTCTTGTTGGGAAGAAGTGGGCATTAAATATCCCAGCACTTGCATGGTTTTAAAGACCATCTCCCAGCAAGGATACATCATGAACACATGGAACAAATGAAGACAAAGACTAAAAAGGTATCTTTTAATTCCTGTACATGATCAATCAAATATTTGTTTCAGAAAATGTATTAAATGTCCCCCTCAGGGCATTTATTATGTCTTTTGTTTTAAACTACGGGAAGAAGAGCACAACAGCAGCTTAAGTGTAGGCATTTGTTGCAAAACTTGTCTGATCAGAACCTTATGGACAACTCTACTTGGCTCTGAAAATTACAAGATAAGAACTGAATACTTGCATCTTCTACAACAGGTTCACCTTGGTGTATTAGGCAAAAATGAGCAGTGTGAAGAAGACATGATTTATATTCTTCAACGGCTTCATCCCTATGTACCTCGTCATTCTGATACTGATGATGCCAACAAGAAGCGAATAAAAGTACTGAGTGGAGGTGACTACCTGACTTTCGAACGACATAAAGAAGCTCAGTCAGCAATGCTGGATGCAATAACCCCCTCTACAAGACTAGAAGGGTTAATCCCAAAGACAGAAGATTCCCACACTCAAGCTGAGTAGGTAAAAGTAAGTGGAGATGTTGAGTAGCTATTTATTTCAATGAAAAAAAATCAAGCAGATTATTAATGCAACATTAACTTTTGAAACCCCCCTTCTCTACCTAAATATCAGTTATTGGCTTTTACTTGCAGCAGCCTTTGGGGTGGGGCTCACAAGAAAGGAGATTCTACCATAATTAAGGCTATTTGAGCCCACAAAGCCTGAAGTTCAAATGCTAGATGCTAAGGGGTGTGAATTGTCGCAGGCATTGTATCCAAAAAATAGGCACCCAGATCATTTCCTTTGGCACCCCAGCTTACCAAGCTCTTGGTAAGCAAAATGGTCCTAATAAAATTATGCATTAATAAACCTTATACCGCTACCTCCTGAGGTCAGGTATTAATAAAAGTAAAAGCTTCATCATAATGTTCATTTCCTGTGATTAGCACAGAATTGGAATCACAAAAATAAAATAACATGTTAAAAGGTCATCTCTAGTTTAGAATTATAACCAGTGGCGAATGAAAAAATGAGAGAAGGGGGAGAGTTTGAGGCGAATCCTGTTGAAAATTATTCATCAATTAATGAAAATAATTGCTTATAAATATTAGGTAATCTGGGACAATCTGTACAGCACAGCATCAGCAAGAGACACTGGTACACTCTATGCAGCAAGGAATGCGATAGATGCAAGGAATGTGACAGTTGACCCTCACAACAACTATTATGCAGCAGCTGAATTTCTAGATAAAGTCTATGATGCATATTTGATTGTTGGTGCTCTTGACCATTTTGGCATGGAAACAGTAGAAGACGAGCTAAAGAAGAATTTGTACAGTGGCATGCAAATTGATGTCAATGCAAAGAAGGAGTATGTCACCAAAACAATCAGGCAAGTTGTGGAAAAGCATGAGGTCAACCAGGTACCAGAACTGAGCCCTGAAGCCCCCACAAGAAATGATCTGCGATGCAGGGAATGTGGAGGACGATATTTGCGCCCGCATGCCCTAAGAAACCATGAGCGAGAAAAGCATGGCATTATTCCACCAAGGAACAGTACCAGCATCAGTCACGAAGAAGACCACATCTAAAACTATACACACCAACTGTTAGTACTGTTGTTTCGAAGAGCTAACCACAATGATGCAATTAAGCTTGGCGATGGAAAGCGTGTGATCAGATTGTACAAATATTTTGTTGTTTTTCAAGATTTCCAAATGCCCAAAATATGCCTTTGCAATGCTGCATCTCCAAGCACAAGTAAATTGTTTGCTGACTCCGAGGATGAGTTATTCTCCCATTTGGAACAGGTTCGTGAACCACCAGGGTGCAATTGACACAAACCACGCAATGGATCTAGACATTGAACATGACAACAAGAGCTTCAAAAATGATTGTCATTTGTATAGAGGCGAGATAAGTGACAAGAGTATTGATAGAGAAAGCAGAAGCATGGAGAAATCAGATGCAATCCCCTATAATTTTGACAAGATCACTTCAGTGAAGAAGCCATCTGGACGACACACAAGAATGTCTATAGAAGAGGACATATTGCTTCTTGTTGAGCACATCAAACTAGAAGATGTGTTTAAAAAAACCCAGGGCGTCTCCACAAAGCATTTCCTGATATGAAGCACGATTGCCTTGAATAGTTAGACATGGACAAGTTGAAAGACTGGATAAGCAATTCCCTTAAGAAATTTAACAAGAAGCACTTTTATAGAATTTAAATTTACAGTCATGTATTCTTGTAAGTCAACAAGTCTGAATAGATTATCACAGTTTCTACTTTCTGAGATCAACCTGTGGCATTTAACTCCCTCAGAAATATGTATATAGGCTATTGTTCAGAGAGATGGGAACAGTGTAAAATCAAAATTCATATTCTCATTTATCGCCCAATTCATTTACTATAGAAGTAGTGGAGATAATTCGTTAAAATATCAAGCAGTTATCTTGTGTGATCATGTCCTTAATTCTTGTGTCCACAGTTTTATAAAGCATCGATATTAAGAGGAGAAACTTGATAATGATCACTCTTAGAGTTAAAGGGCTGAGAAATTTTCAAAACAGAAGCTCTTTTAAAGAATTTTTATTTGCCTCAACTTAGTTTTTATAGGGGTGGGGAGTGAAGATAGGTGGTTGTATTCGAAGGCTCGCATTAGCTTGCCCACATTGGCAAGTTTTACCCTCTTATAAATATGCACATAGGCCATTGACTGTCCAGGGCAAACCGAAAGACTGGATCAGTAATCCACTGAAGAAATTTTAGTAAGAAGCACTAATATCGAATTTAAATTTTCCTTGGTAAGATAAAAAAGTTTGCATAGTCTCCCCATGTTGTGCTTTATGAGACAGACTTATGGGCACTTTATTATCTGGTTTGCTATATATTTTCATTACAATGTTGCATATAGTTAGCATGTATTTCATGATCAAGAAATTGTGATGTACATGTCTTGTTTTACATATTATGGTCGATATGGCTAACAGATTGTCAAGAAGAAGTTTCATGTTTTGTTTTCTTTGTAAATAAGAGAGTATGAATGTTGTGGTTAAATTTTACCCTTGGAAAAAATTTTGTTTTCCTGTGCTTTTGGATATGGTAATTAATGTGGTCAATGTACAACGAATTGGAAAAAAAGGAACATAAAATTTAAACCAAGCATAATAGGAATGGACCACAACATGTATCGTCAGTTATATGTAGTAAATAGATACATGTTCACGGTTGTAATAATTATCATAACAAGTTCCAGATTGAGATAGTTCTTTCCCCATTGTGCCGACAATGGCATAGTGCATTAAACATGTTTAAATACTGGTCAACTGTAGTGTGTTCATTTGGAGACTACTCATTGTAGGAATGTACAGTTTATTCTGAGAATGACAACAAAGTCTAATATTTAGTCACTGGAGCTGCTGTATTCATCAGAACTACTGAATACCCGAGTTTTTCGTGTTCTTCTTCTCGCAATATCACTGCTGTCACTTTCGGCTTCACTTGAGCTACATGTATCAGACCCTTTTGAATCCCGAGGGTGAGCATAAGTCTCTTCGCTCAATTCAGATTCACTGTCAGACTCTGACATTGCCAGTACCTCGCATATTATTTGCCAAGTCTCTGTGGCATGTACTTCACTGAAGAAAGCAAACTTGTCCTTCAGGTCTAGTACACTGCGCACATCATGGATCTTGCTGACAATGCTGTCAACGAGCTTTCTAGAGTATCCAGTGGCTAAATCTAGCCCTGTTGGTAATTTTTCATGCGCATGTTCTGTGCTAAATCTGCCCGGTAATTCATTAGCCAACAGCGTTAATGGGTCTGTCTTCGTCTTGACATTTCATTGCTGATTGCTGAGTCTGGTACTCTTTCTTCAGTGTCATTTAATGATTTGATGTAAGCTTCAACTGGTGATTGGTAGTCACTTAAAGAGCAGGAGTCTTGGCATATACACAGTTCCAGGCTGCATGTACAAACACAACGGCACGATTTTGCACATAAGTCACAACAGGAGTGTTTGGTATCATTACTCTGAGGACTTGAGCAGAAAGGTTTGAGAAGCAGTTTACACCGACATTCTTCATTATTCTTAACATACTCTTTCATTCCCTTGCTTATTTTTCTGCTCTGTGTACAGCCTTTAAATCTTAATAGCACAGCATGGCTCATAGTGTCCGATGATCGTCCAATTCTACCTGACTCTTGCAGATAATCATCAAGATCAGACTATGGCCCCAAATGAATTCAGTTATAAGCACCTTCCACATTAACTTCCATACCAAAAGCTATTGTACAGAAAACAACCCGAACAGTACCATTTTCCTTGCAAAATTCGGTTTCGATAGTTCCTTTTACCAGATTGTCAGTTTTCTTGTGATACATGGTAAATAAACGTGTCGGATCATCTAGTGGTTCTTGCCCAGTTGGTCTGTAATAGGCCTTTTGGCCAAGGCAATGACTGAATAATTCAAAAAGTTCCTTGACATGCTCTTTTTTGCGACAGAACACAAGAACTTTGGTTGCGTTAATCTGAATAATTTCAACATCCTTGATGATCACGCTAAAACTGCCATACGAGCTGGTTGAGTCAATATCCACTACAGCATATCGAACATTTGTCTTGTTGGGATCTCCCAAGATCTTTACACATCCATCCATGCCTAGATCCTTTATAATTGTCCTTCGAACAGTCTCCTTAGCCGTAGCAGTCAGGGTTATAAATGGTACATCGTGGTGAACCAAGGACCGCAGTTCTCCTAGTCTACTATAATCCTTTCTAAATGCTTCTTCAGATTTGGTTCCCATTCCCCTGCAATGTAAGCAAATTGTATAAACGTGGTATAAATAAACACAGTAGACAGAAACAGCACAATTTGTACCTGTATAAGTGTCAATGCCAGTACTATATTTTGGTCAACAAGTACTGCTACCATTCAAGTTTCTGGTTAGTTGATGAATCAGTCATAATCAATAAATTCAGGCGGTAGTAATCAATGTCAGTTAAAGTAAAAAATTTCTTCATTCAAATTATTATTCGAAAACCTGAGCAAACGATTCTGAGAAAGTCTAGAAATTACTATACTAAATGATTGTAACTCTGGTTTTTGAGCAAATAGGGATTTGCTACAAGATATAAATTATAATAATATATTAAGTCTGATTAATTATAAGCTTATTGTACTTCTGGTTAAGAGATTATGGTAACAGATATCTTCAAAAAAATAAACGTTGCATCTAAGAATGAGCCATAACACAATAGATGCTTTTGTTATTTTAAATGACATGGAAATTTTCAGGTGACCTTGTATTCTGTAGTCTTGCAGATGTATATCGCAAACAAGAACAAATCAATCACTCACCATTTTGCAATGCATTGACTTTCATCGACAAAAACAGCCTTAAGGTTTTCCTGAGTTTTCCATGAAAAATGCTTTGGTGGCTATTCAATAGAGCTTCGTGGCTTCCAAATACCAGCGAGTATTTTCCTTACGAAATTTCTTTTACTTGTTCCCTCGTGCAGTCTGCTCCAACTGAAGCAGCTGATATCCATCGGCCAACTAAAGAGGCAGCATGGTCCTTCATAAGGGCGACCAGTGGCACAACAACTAAGTAAACAGAACACACTTCCAGTCTTTCGCCGTGCTCTAAATAGTCGAAAACATAGGGAGCAACTTCAAAAGTCAAGCTTTTTCCTGATCCTGTTGGCGCTGAAAGAAATATGTCTTTTCCACTGCAGTAACCCTCGATTACTTTTCTTTGATGTTCACGGACATCTTTGTACTGTGCTTTTCGCAACCCATAAGCGATTGCGTCCTTGACTGAACACATCGTACAACCAGTTGAAAATTTAAGTTTTAGTAAAAGCCTCTACATAAACAAACAGCAAAGCAAATTTTACTTTCACCCAGACAGGATCTTGGGCGCGTGATCTGTTTGATTGACGTGTGGTTTGATAAGGCTGCCTCTGATTGGATAACAATACCGGAGGAATTTTCCCCCTGTAAATTTGGCGCGCTGCAAGGGATAAAAGTCGTTCATGCCGGGTCCTACCACACCAGACCAGAAAACCATGCGAACGTCTTTGAGAAAGTCTAGGAAGTCAGAAATAAAGACAAGAAATTAGGAAATTAAGATGTGCGCAGTGACCAAAGTAGCTAAAGCTTCTGGGCTGGTCACTGCCATGTTAAGCTAGCTGACATATACAATAAGCGTAGTGAAAAATAATTATACCAAGAGAAAAGGTGCGAAAGTAACAATATTGACGTGTATTAAACAAAAAGAAAACAACAAAAACCAAAAAAACGACGACAACAAAATATGGCTAAAAGTGGTTAAACTAAAGTAAACTAAATTTATATTCTAGGAAACAGATTGCGAATTCAGCAGATATAACTTGAAGTGTTTAGAGAAGCTCAGGTGGAATAGTCTCCCACATTTTCGACAAAATCAAACAAAAAGTGGAAGCTTAATAGTTATCATTCATTTGTGGCCTTTGACTGGGCTATTGCGTGCAATTTTAACAGAGTTCGTACACCACTGGTCCATCAAAATTCCAGGACCTTTCCAGGACTTTCAAGGACCATATTTACAAAAATCCAGGACCAGTAATAGCCAGGAAAACTGAAACAATCCAAACAAACCAACAAACTATGTAGCATTTTTGCTACGTTTCTGCAAGAGTCTGTTGCTTCTGGTCTATTTCGCTGTCGATTTTAGAAGCTTCTTCAGGCTTTCGTTTTGAGGAACTCCAATGACTTTTTGACTGTGCTACTTAATTACTGACCGGTTTTCGACTGTTTTTTGACCGTTTCTTTAAGAGAAGCAGATGAGCTTGGTGTTTCAGCACTTGCATCACGTACTGAAGGGCTGGAATGTAAGCCACAAGACATCAAAGGACCAGGTTTGTCAGAGCTTGGTGAAGATGCTGCCTTTGAAGACATAAACTGGATAATTGGCACTGACCGCTCAGCTATTAATGCTGCTAATTCTTTGTGCTTACTCCGTCTCCTGTGACGTTTGCAGGGCTGTCAACCCCCCACGTCTTCAAATATTGAGAATTGATAGCAAAGGGATGATACATGACATCATAACGAATGGCACATGACGTCATTTTTGCAAAAGATACTGTTGACTCCGATCGCCCCGAATTTATGATGACACAAAACGCGCGAAAAAGATTTTGTTGCACAACATTTGACTTGATCGGTTTACTTCCCACCAATCACATTATTGCTTATAGTATAATAGCATACCGGAAATTACAAGGAAACGCTTGACGTTAACAGTATAAAAATAACTCAAACAACGCAAAATATTTGAAATTTTATTGTCGGAAAGTCGACTCTACAAGAAATGGCAAAATTCGACGATTATCGGGGAGGATTTCATACTCTAACCTGGAGACTGGAAGATACGGTCCAAAATCTGGTGTCTCCCGGATTATCCGGGAGAGTTGACAGTACTGCTTCTGAGGGCGGATTCCCCCATGTTTGAGCAGTCCAATGATTTTTGGCACAAGCGACAACGTGCTTTGTGTTGAGAGCTTGAGTCTTGTAATATCCAGTCTTTGAATATCACATGAGAAGTCCAGTTTTCTTTGAACGTACACTTCCCAGGCATTGTTCATTCAGCTTAATCACAAGGGCTGGAAACAATACTTTTCAGTACGTTTTGACATGATTTAAAACAGAACGAAACAACGGCGCCATTCTCATCCAGATACGAACAACAAAATTTTCGAACATGGGGAGCCCGTAAAACCGCAGGGGTAGCTAGAGCCCAGACTCTGAACTGTCAGGTTTTGGGATTAACGACAGGTACGATTTTGCAAGATTGTAGATGTTCATTTGTCGCCCACAAAAAACTTGAAAATGTGAGCGAAGAAAATGAAAAGAAACTTATTCACTGTCCTAGGAAAAGTCTAATTTTCCAGGACTTTCAAGGACCGACACATATTTTCCAGGTTTTCCAGGCCTGGATTTTGAAATTTTAAATTTCCATGACTTTCCAGGTTTTCCAGGACCCAAACGAACCCTCTTTTAAGAGTTAAACAGAGATGTTAGTTTCGTTACGCTCTTTCTTTTAGTTGGTTAACTCTCTCTGATACACTCCCCTTCTTCTATGGAACCTCAACCCAAACAGCAATATTTAAGAGAGACCCTCTTCTCATTCCTTGTCTTCTTTTCATGCTTAGGAACAGTCTACGCTTTCTAAGCAATTCATAAATGCAGTATTTTTCTCTTTTGAGTACAAACATAGACAATTTCACGTAACAACATGTAGCCTTAGTTTTTCTTAATGCTCTCTATTTCCTATAAAAAACCCTCTCTGTCACGTTCATTTTATGTCAAGAGCTAAAAATATAGATTTGGCTAGGGCTAAAAGCGAAGCTCCCATTAATATATTTATTATTTAAATCAAACAATAAACTTGTATTCCACAAATTAGTTAACTTTAGAGCACATCCACGTGACTTTTGAGGTAAAGGCTAAGTGATTTTCAGTCCAAGAGTCAGTGAACCCGGGGGGAGGGGTACTCCCATATACGGGCTATATAGGTATGTGCCGCAGAATAGAGTACCGAAGTGTGACGTCATAGAAAATGAAATTTGTGAAATTATGGGATTTGTTAAGGTATTCTGAAAGAACAACATCCAAGACGCCTACTCACCAAAAATTAGCAATTTGGGGCAGATTGTCTCTGAGATATTAGCCCAGTTATGCTCCGATGACTCCATACAAATCCTTCTAAATCTTACCTGGTTCCTAATCCTATGAACCAAGCCAAATTTAGAAGGATTTGTATGGAAACGTCACAGCATAACTCTTCAAGCCACATTATTAATTATTAATATGACTGTTGTTCATTTAATTAACAGAACTCTCACAACAAAACTTAGCTTAATGAAATAACAAGTGACAAAAAAGTAATGTTTAGTCGCGATCAAAGTTCAATACGAATAGAGTTGGTAGAGACACTCTTGTACGAATAATCCTGGCTGTAATCTGTTGTAATAAACAGACAGACTACACAGGAATGTTGCATTTTCGATTTCCAGCACATGTGGTATAAAACTTGGGTATAAAAAATTGAAGGCCAACGTAACAATGTATATAAAATTAAAAGTCCATAGGGGTCTTGTAAAACTGTCCAGATAAAAAGACCAAATGGTTTTGTCATTAACAATAAACAAACCAATTGAAACGTGCTTTCCTGGTTTCCTGATTTTTGTGTTGCACTTTTCAGCGAGAGCGATCTCACAGAAGAAACCATGACTACGAACGATCTGAGCTAAATCTTCGGCCTCTCTCTTTTCTGTAACAATCGTGACCTTAAGTGGGATGTTCCTTAGCGTCATCGTCCTTTTGGGTCATTGCATTGGCTTCCAGTTGCGACACTGTAAGGTAGGCGTTGCAAATAATTTATTAATTATACAGGAGTTCTTTACTTATGTTTATGAAACAAAGTATATGTAAACGGGACAATTCCCTGTATTGTTTGATCAAGATACTTACCACTGAAATCTTTTGAATGACCACAACAGGTCGACCAGGTCGCGCTCTAGATGACCTAGTTGTCCGTGATCGTTCATGGCCAAAAATTGCTCTCCAATTTCGATTTGAAAAGTGCATTCATGGTAGCCTTAAGCCTCACAATGGATTTCAACTGTGTAGAAAGCATCGTTTGTGAGAGATCCGGAATCTGACATCATTATACAACTTGCACAACCCCCGGATACAACCAAAAAGGGATATGCTTTGAATCAAGACCCCCAGTTTTCGCCAGAGATAAAGGTTAATGTATTCACAGAGAGTTAATTTTTCCTTTTTTATGTCATGCACTGCCACAGGGAGCAGGGGAGCCAGATTTGAGCTTTGCGAATATTAAATATTCGATGTTAAACGTGGTCTTACGTTGTCCAGTCTTTTCGTTTAGGCGTTCGTGACGCTTAAGCCCACTGGGTAAAGCATTCCATTCATCACTCAAATCTACTAGGATAGTGTATAAAGCTTAGGACAAAGCTGTAATTCCGACCAAAACAAACTTCGCCAAAGTGTGCAAAGTGCACAATTCTTAACTTGATACCTGCTGGGCTTTAACCGCGGCGTAAACAAAAGATCGGAAAACATCAAACAAGCGCCACGATATAGATCGAATGCCATAAACTGCCGCTTATAAGCCCTGGGCTAATACAAGTTTGTAAGTGGTTTTGGGTGGGCTTATAAGCGGATGAAAAAAAAAACGTTTCGAAATGAGCAACAGCACTGTTGATCGACGCGTGATTTTAAATTTATTATTCTTACAATTGAAGCCTTAAAAAGGCAGCAATAAATCGAATTCAGTTAAATTTCAAAACAAAATCAAAACTGTAACAACACGAACGTAACTGGAACCCAACAAAACGAAAGTTCAGAGCTCATCCCCGCCATCATTAGATTAAGTTTTAATGTCTAGTTCACAGCTGAGAAGCTTCTCGTACTTGTAAAATGACGGTTTAATTTCTAGTATACTGAGTGGTGTGGCCTCCTTTAAACTCATCATCTTCATTATTATCATAAACATCATCGTCTGAGTCATCACTCTCAAGATGAAACTCCACAAGGTCTTCATCAGCTGATTGCATCTTGTAATCATCTTCCGATCCACTAAGATCAAGAGAAATTCCGCATTTCTTAAAGCTTCTTATGATGGCGTCTTTGCTCTGGTTTACTTCTGGCCACGCTTTACCCACCCACTTGGTTAGAAGAACTCGCCTGTCTGATGCAGTCAATTTGCCTTCAGTGTACAACTGCAAGTTTTCACTCATGTGAACTCATGTTGGCGCCTTACTGCCTCTATAAAAGGTTTGTTAATGCAGACATCTAAGGGTTGAATTCGACTTGTGCAGCCTGGCGGAACATTGACTAGTTCAGTCTTGTAATTACACAAGGCAGTTTTTACAGCATTGGTCTGCTGAGCGGCATGGACATCTGCCACCAAATCTTTCCCGTTGACGAAGCACTGTGAGGACTTGTGAATACATTAGCCCAGTCACTCGCCACCCACTTCTTCATAATTGCCTTGTCACACCATCCTTTTTCTTGAAACATAATGCAAACCCTTTTATCCCAGCCATCTCTCTCAGTCTTGGAAATTCTCTTCCCTTGTCCTCGAAATATTATGGTTGGCCATAATATGTGCTGGACCAAACTTCTTTTGATCCAGCATTATCCTATCTCTTACCATCATCTAAGACAAATGGCAAAGGAGTTTGGTCCATATTGGCAATGTCAGCAACTTGGAAATTACCACGTCTTCTTACTCTCAGCAGTTTGGCGTGAAACTTGGAAATAGTCGCACTCAAGTTGACAGGAGCATGCTGTGCAGCTTGGGTGGTTTTGCGTAGACTTATGTTCTTTTTTTTGCAAAATCGTCTGAACCACTTATCAGAATATTTGAAATCTTTGACATCCAGATAGAGCTCATTCATCAATTGCTTTGCTCGAGTGTCAAACCACCATCTTTTGACTTTTCGTCCTTCCTTTCTCAGGTCTAAAAATTCTTTGTATAGCTTATCTTCCATGAAAGGATATCTCTTATTACATCCCTGACCAACCGCTTTGGATCTGCTCTTCCGCTTCGTTATTTTTTTCTCTTTCTGAACCCACAAACGCACTTGTTGACAATCAACTGCAAATTTACTTGCGGTCCGAGAAATGTTTTTTCCGTCTTGGTAAAACCTTTAATGACTCTCAGCTTGAATTCACGATCAAACGCACCCCGTGTCTGTGACGACTTTTAACTGGTATTGCTCTTAGATGGCTGCTCATTATTTTTAACTACTTCAATGTCTGTGTCTTCAATTTGAATCTCTTCTGCCACCATGGTGGCCTCTACACAATCTCCACCATCTGCCATACTCATAATGTGACCTACGGTATGGTATACGAGCATAAACGCATTGGTATGTATACCTGTCAAACTTTGGACTAAATCTAATCAGGTGCTACCGTGTCATACACATGAATCGCATCTCAGTTCAAGGGGAAAGCAATTCCAAGTCCTGTTAGGGATTCATTTGTAACAATTTGCTCTAAATGACCAAACCAACTACCGTAACTACACTGAATGGCACGAGTCTCTGTCACAACGAACTTTGCAACTTTCACATAAAGTTCAGCCTGAAATTCACAACTTCATTTCAAAGTTCACGATTTGAATGACAACTACGTAGTGAAATTGCTCGCTTCGTAGCGAACTTTGGGAATTTCAAACAAACTTCGGAAACAGTTTGTCAAAAGTTTTGTGAAACGCACTGTAACACTACAGGAGAACAATGAACAGTTACTTCAAAGCATTTGGCGAAAATAAAGATATTAAGATTGTTAATAATGAAATGGTAATAAAGTTATTGTTCTGTAATCTTTTCCAGTTATTTGTTGAAGCAATAGTGTTCTCTGAGAGTGCTTAATATTAATAAAACAAGAAAAACTGGAGGGGGGCTTATATCCGGATGGGGTTATAATCAGATGTATTTTTTTGTTTGCATGTAGGTGGACCTATAACCCGGGGGGGCTTATAAGCGGATGAGCTCAAAAACGGCAGTTTACGGTATTTATATTTTAGCTCCTCTGCTCACTGAGGCCAGCAGTACCGTTCTACCGGCAACCCGAAAATAGAGGATTGCTTTCTGCCTAGTGGTTTCTTGGGCCTTGTTCTGCCTCGTTACTTGTCTGAAAGAAATTAGTTCGGCACCTAGCAACAATGCCTCATGTACAACAAACACATTGGCATTGCCTTATCTCTATCGACTTTACTCTGACGAACTATTTAAAAAAACCTTAAGAATTTCGTTTTGTTGTGTTTTGCTAACTAGGACATGAACGATTAAGAAAGATATAATTAATATGTGGTTTACAGGTCTCTATACTATGGGAAAGGACAAGTGGGGTATTGAAAGAGGACACTGCCTTTAGTGTGAAGGCGACGAATATGAAAGTAGTGTGGTACAATGTGACTATTGTGGTCACACACCTATGAGTCATGTTCCCTTTGACCCTAAGAGGCCAAGATATGACGCAACACCAGGTGCGACACCGACCAGAGGTGTGTGTGGAAACAAATAGAGTTTATTTTTCGGTGGTTAAAGAAGATGGACCTCAACCTGTTAGAGAAAGGCTCGACGAGGGATTAGCCAGAGAGGGACCAGAACAACTGACAAATGCAGACGATGCACCCGCAGCACATCTACCGGGGAGGACAAGCCACGGCGAGGGGTTTGCCGAAAAGGGGGCAGATGCCAGCGGCGCAGAGCCCACAAAAGAAGCCTCTGTCATAGAGGTCGATACAAGTGTCGATGATGAGGTGGGTCCCTTTCAGAGGAAAATCGATGCCATCACAAAAACCAGAAGATTCGTTGTCAGCAAAACTAGCGTAAATCTTTTTCGCATTTTGTAATGTGTGTAGTGTGAAGATGATTGCCAAAAAAGAGCACAAGGGCCAGGATATGTTCCTGATTACCCAGCATATAGCCACTGCAATACATAAAACTAATGAAGCCATTTGTCTCTCATGCAAGAGCGAAATTCCCGCAGCGATTCTCAAAGTACAACGGCAAGTAGAAGACAAGTACCTGCACGTATTTTCCTTCACCAAGGCCTCCATCTTGTGCCGTGCATGTAAGATTAAGTTCTCTGCCATGCACAAAGTTGTGTTAAATAACATCAGGCAGCACGTAGATAGTCGTGGCCACAAGGAAAAGATCAGGAAGACAATGGCAGCAAGTTCAAAGGATATTTCATAATTTTTCACCCGTAAGATTCCAGCTAACAAGGAATGATCATGACCAGCAAAACAGCTGTGCTAGGGATTTTATAAAGATAAGTTATCTTATGTAAATAATGGAGAAACTGTCGAAGTAAATCCCAAAATTCTTTTGCATGACCTAAAACCAGGAGAACATAAAAGGAATGTGTTGTTTTACCTGGAACCTTTCTTTGTTTTAAATGAAACGGGGCATGAGAAGACAACAGGAGTATTTTGAAGTAGTAACTGTTTAAGGGCAGCAGATGAAGGAACATTTCCGGACAATATGTGTTCAGCTTGTTCGAATATACCTAAATTAGAATCATTCAGAACACGAATCCTGCTTAGCATGAATTTCATCAGATTACTTCGAGTCGTTATTACTCCCTCAGTAACCTCTGAATCGACCGGCCGCTAATGCCGTCCAGTGATGTCACTACTCTTTGATCTTTGCTTTAATTCATGCAAAAAGTAAAACACAATTTTCAAGTGGCAAACCGAGAAATATCGTTTGGAAATGTCTGCATGATACAGAAGTGCTTTTTTTTTTCCGATCGTAATTCATGTTTATTGTTCAAACTATCAACTGCATGCAGTACAACTCTGAACCAGTTGTACTAAAATCAAACTCGGTCGCAATCACACAATGAAATAAACACACACACGGAACACTTAGTTCAAAAACACGGATTTGCTTTAATTGAAAAAAAGCTATTTGGTCCTTAACGAAGAAAACAAACAAGGAGACAAGAAAGAAAAGCTAACAGAATCATTACACTTGACAGTAAAAATAGCAAGAAGGTCGAATTATAACATTGATCTCAGAAAACTTCGCGTAAACAAAATCACAGGCCGCCGAAACCACAAAGCGGCTCTAAATGAAAAACCTACCGACTCTCCGCAATGATTCTTCATTCGCAGTACAATTTAGCATTTCAGTTTCGAAGACAAGGGCAATTTTGCTGTTTAAGATAAAGATTAAGCTTGCGTTTTCGGAGGTTCTGCCAGCCGCAATTGGAGGTCTGTTCGTAGTCTTTGCGTACGATTTGTCTTCTTCGGTAATGGTCTTCGTGCTTCCACGTTCAGTAGTTGGATTCGCACGGTCGTTTATTCCATTGATTGCCTCTTGCACAATCTTAGAATTCATTTTCCATTTTCTTAAATTAAATCCTCCCCATTGTGTAAGTGATTTGGACTTCGAACACAGCTCCAACGCCTTCGCTTCGTCTCCTTCGCTGGTAACAAGATCGTCTACATAGAGGGATTTCTTCAAGAGCTCAATGAAATGCGGCTTGAATTCTTCAGACACTTGTGAGTCTAAATGGTGTCGAATCGTTGATGCCAAAATAGCTGGAGATGGTCTGAGTCTAAACACGAGACGGGTGAACCTCAAATGTACAATCTCAGAGTTCAGATCATCAGGATCCTTAAGCCACAAGAATCACAGCATATCTCTATCCCTTTTGTTGATTCCAACCATGAGAAAGGCCTTTTCTATGTCAGCCGTAAGACCAATCTTGTGCCAACGAAAGTTAACCAGGGTGTCAAATAACTGTGGGGTATAATTTGGCCCTGTTTCAAGACAATCGTTTGAGGAGTGAGTACGTTCGCGGGGCTTGGCTGAACCATCATACACAATCCTTTGTTTGGTTGTTTCGCGGTCTCTCCGTATCACGGCGTGGTGTGGAAGGTAGTGTACGTCTTCTTCCTCACTGTCCTTATCCGCAGCGACCCTTTCCACGATTCCCTTGCTCAATTGCTCTTCAATAATTTGATTATATTCGCGAATCAGTTCCGGTTCCTTTAAAAATTTTTGTTGCAGTGATTTAAGGCGGTTGACACATAGTTCATAGTCACTGGATATTGCTGGATGATTATCATGCCAAGGCAACGGCACCTCGTAACGTCCATTAAAATGGACCTGTATGGTGGCCGAGAACTGCCACTGAGTCTTCGGCACATTTTTCTTTTTTTTTCTTTATTATAAGTAGATTGAATGTAAAACAAAATGAAAATAACATTTAAATCAAATAAAAATGCAATAAAACGTAAAACAAAATGCAAGTAAAATCTCAATCAAAATACAAATGCAATTAAATTTAAAATGCAAAGTTAACTCCATTCAGATTAAAATTGACTGCACTTTAAAAGAGAATGCAAAACAATATAAGTAGAAGTCAAAGTCAATTAAAATTCAATAAATTTTGAAAAGAGAATGGAAAACGAAGTTAGTGGCAGTGCTCGGCCATGCGAAGATTTACTTTCGTTTGAAGTAAAATTGAAAGTAAATTATTCGCATGGCCGAGCGCTGCCACTGCCAGACCCGCCCCAGGCCTCCAAACCAATGACTCCCATAAAGCCATTCGCGGTTTGGTTTGTATCCGCCATTTTGTTCCATGACAACAAACATGGCTGACTGTACTTGGAAAGAGGATGATAAGTTAAAAGAAGCCATGACACAGCTTGTTCAGCAAGGACTCCAAAGGATCGAGGCGCTGGACTTCCTTAAACGTGACTTCCCACAGTATCCTTGGAGCATGAGAACTCTTGACAGGCGACTTCGTCACTTTGACATTTTCTACAACGACAAGAGTGTTGAAGTCGAAGACGTACAGACAGCGGTGGGAAACGAACTGAAAGGCCCTGGTAAGCTTTTAGGTTACCGGGCTATGCACAGAAAACTCCGCCAAGAGTATGGCATAAATGTAACCAGAGACCAAGTTTACAATGTCATGACGGAATTGGACCCAGAGGGTCTTGAAGCACGCGGCGGTATTGGGGCGAAGAAAAAAAGACAGAAAGGAAATTTTACTACAAGGGGATCAAACTGGGTTCACTCGTTAGACGGCCACGATAAACTTATGGGATACCAACATTTGACATTCCCATTGGCTATCTATGGCTGCCTTGACACAGCAAGTAGAAAACTACTTTGGTTACGAGTCTGGAAATCGAACTTTTACCCCATAGTGATTGGACGGTGGTATTTCGATTATCTTTACGAGACAAGAGTGATGGCTGCAATGCTGAGGGTAGACAGGGGCACAGAAACTGGGGTAATGGCTACATTGCATTTCTTTTTACGAAGACATCATGGCGACATGGACCCAAGTGACTCTGTTGTTTATGGACCTTCAACTGAAAACCAGGTAGCTTAGTTACTATACAAGTTCTTACAATATACATGGAGCCATTTTTAACGTTTAGCTTTGAAATGAGTTCTTGTGAGGGGGCGATAATTTTGCTCAGTCCGTTGATAATGCTATCCTGTTGGGGTAGAGAGGGGAGGGATTATCATCTACTATACTGCTTATAATTCTAGAGGAGACGACAGATGCTAAGTCATTACAATGTCATTTCAGGTATAGATTGCATGCACAGATTATAAGGCCTGGTTTATGCAAAAAAGGTCATTTTTGAATTGCTATTTTGGAAACTATTTACAGCTATAATAAAGTGAATTATAGTGTATTATCGTTTGTCTCACAGTGTACAGTGTAGTCACTTGAAGGAAGTAGAACGTAACGTTTCCACTGTAAAAATTGTAAAACACGGTTGCACCACACGGTGGCTTCTGTAGTTATGCAGTCTTCAGAGCCATGTTGTAATATATTAACTAAATTCTCAGGTTATTGCTGGGAACATTCCATGCCAACATAATTGTGTTCACCTCTCACCTTGTTTGTAATTCAATCCTAGATTGAGAGATGGTGGAGAGAGCTACACGAGCGCATGGAGAAATACTATAAAGGTCATTTGTGTTGGCTCAAGGACCAAGGCCATTATCATCCACATGATGACAAAGACAGGTTGATTCACTATGCATTTCCTCAGTGTATCATTCACAGTGAAACCTGTATAAAGGGGACCTTATTAAGCGAGCACCCTGTGTTAAGCGGACACTGGAGCATTCCCCGAAGGTGTCCGCTTAATACAGGTTGCACTGTGTTTATACACCTTGGAGATTGGGCTCCATGTAACCTCCCTACCTTTTTCCTGGGGTCTCTTCTCTCTCACTCCAGGAGGGTGTGGGAAGATTAGAGACCCTGGTAATGAGGTTGCTAACTTCCTGTGCTTTTTGTACCTGGTAACCATCAATGCAACTCAATATTATGATTGAACTAAAAAAAGAATTATAAAAAAACAAGCCAGTTCTAATGCATGTAAATTAGGTTTTGTCTCTGGAAAGCCAAGGTTCAGTGTCAAGACATATGGAATATTATTTGTGGCATGAATGGTTGGGAGATGTTATGTTTTTTTTTTCAATTAGCCAGACATAAAACAACCAGGGTTGTAACTCTGCAACATTTTAATTCTGTTGTGTTCCTCTCCAATCGTATAGGATGCTTCTGGCGTTCATCATGATACCGCTAATACAGAAAGATCTAGATGTCTTTAGAGAGTCGGTTTGGAACACTCATAGGATACGTGCACAGAAGGACACGATTCTTCCAGATGGCATTCCAAACCACATGTATAGTTTCCCTGAACAGTATGGCCTGGAAGAATGTGGTTTGTTTGGAACACCTGATACCATTTCAGACTTGGCATTTTTCTCGTTTTGGTAATTTTCTCTTTGACTTTTCATTTGGATTAGATTACAGGTCTCCCAGTTACAGAGGAACAGCTCAAGGAGGCAGCTACTCAGTCTGGAGTGCTGACTGTTCCTGATGATTTTCTGCAGCCTGAATTTAGAGCAGAATGCGAACGTGTCTTACCAGATAGTGAAACGATTAGACCCCATGAATGCAGGGATGCATACATTTACTTAAAAAATAACTTCCAGCTGTGACTGTCGGTATTGTAGGCACTAGTGGTCCTTAGGTTGCACTAAGCTTGTGATGGGACAGCTGGGGGATGCTCCTTCTAGTCAATAAAGTTACATAGTGTGCATAAGTTCAAGATAGATGTGACAAAAATTATTTCTGGTAAAGAAAACAATCTCTGAAACATTTTTTGTACATTGTTTTTTTTATTGACTAACAACAACTGAAAATATTATGTCATATAACGTTTCAATCATTAAACTTTATAATGTTTCACTTTTATTAATTTCTTGTAACATGGAATCAGCAAAAACGAAATTCCATAGTGGTGAAAGACCCACATTTAGGACTATTGGTACTTTCTAGAACTGTAACACTATAAAAGTAACACGTTTATATTTATAATATGAAGTTGGAACAAGTAAATTTTGTAATTTTTGTAATTATTGATGAACTATGGCAATAATGTGAACACTTCTTCAAGTTTGCCAGTGAAAACAAAAGTTTGAGTTGCAGAGTGATGGTTACAGCTTACATCTAACGGCAAATATGTCAACTCCATGCTGTCCTACAAAGGGCAAACACAACAGCATTCCTCATTAAAAAACAACAGTATACACAGAAAAGGGGGAGGGGTGGAAGTAGCTTATGTGGTAAACATATAGCACATGTAAAAACAGCAAAACATATCAGAAATTAACTAACTTGGTTTAAGTTTCAGCTTTAGAAGCTTGCAGTAGGAGTTGCACTGATGAACCTCAAAAAATGACTCAATTGCTCTTCCAGCCAAGTTGCCAGTACAGAACTGATAACCCCCATCCTCATTTTGTATCTCAGCTGAGGCTATTTCAGGATCGTACAAGGTATATCCTGACCCTTGGAAGTCTAAAACCATAACTTTGCCTTCTGATTTCTCATACGTAAAATGAGAAAACGCCTGTGCCTTCTTACATAGCATGGTATCTTCTTCACAGACAATTCCATTGTTGTTTATAAACTTTGCAAAGTCTCCAGGGATGAACTCCTCAACTGTTAACAGCTCCCCGTCCTCTGTTTTCCCCATGTACACAGACTTGTATTCAAACGAAACTCCATATTCGTCAAGCTTGTCCTTTGCAATTGTTTCCTTCAGCTGCGATGCAAAGTTTCTTGCTAGATATTGCATCTGTACTGACTTTCTAGTATGTTCTTCTGTGGTCTGTCCTGTACCTTTAATCAGTTGAACAGCACTCTCCAGATAACTCTTAACAACCCATGTTCCTTTATTAAAGCCTTCTGTAATGCTTGTGGCTTTAAATGCCTTTCGGAAACCTCCAGCTGCAAACTCTTTCTCTTCTATGACAAATTCAGCTTGGAGTGGCACTGATGACCATTCCATGTGAGCAAAGTCAAATTTGTAGATCAGGATTTTCTTGGCTTTGTAATCAACTACCCTTCCAAGCCTAAGTATGTCCTTGATAGAAAGGCTCTTTGGGTAAAATTTACTCGTTGCAGGTGAAGGCTTCACTGGGCTTGGATGGGACGCAGGCCTTTTCTGTGGAACTTCGTATCTTGCTTTCTTTTCCTGTGGACCAAGACAAAAAATATTGAACAAAAGGAAGAACTTGCAACCATGTTAAACTGCTATCTTGAACACTGATAAAACAAAAATTGATATAACATTTTGCCAGACTTTTAAGTTCTATAATTATCGACAATGGGGGGTGAGTATTTAATCAGGGGTTCCAGACAAACACAGAGAAACTGATGAAAGCACAAGACTGAGGGCCAAGTGCTCACTTTTGAAAAATAATTAGTATTAACTATTGGTATTGGGTATCAAGATCCGTCCACCTCACCTAAATAAATCTTATTGACTGCTGACCCAGGGGCAGATCTAGGGGGAGGGTGCAGGGGGTGAACACCCCCTCCCCCAACCCCCTGAGATGAAGCCTCTTCATATTCGCTTTTAAAATTTCTTTACATCACCAGTCAGTTACACCATTTCTTATTGGTGTATCCCCTCCTAAGGAAAATCCTGGATCCGCCCCTGTGACCTTACAAATTATTAATGAGTTTAAGAATGCATGCTGGTTTGTAACCTTGTAGTGGAATGTAGAAAACTATAGATTGTTATGAATCAGGGAACAAAAGTTTTCTAATTCTATCCTCCTGGGACTTCATAGTATCAAATAGTACCAATAATCTAATGTGCTGGAAGCAACAGCTGGATGCAGATTTGGTTTAATTTTGCAATTAAAACGTTTTCTAAACTTTAATACAAACAGTGGCTTTGCAAAAAGTCACTCCCCACGGATATTTCTATACACCACGAGTAAACCGGTGAGTAAACAAAACGCTTCCGCGAAGATTATTTTACTGTGACTAAAACCTCAACTACCTAAAATGTCCTTATCAGAATTCCTAGAAGAAAGGTCTTGAGTTCATAATCCAAATCCAAAGTGCAAATAAAACTCGTGATTCATTTTGATTATTACGGGTTTATTGTGCTATTACCTTGCATTCCAAGGATCCATCCTGATCGGAAACGACCTCCACTCCTTCGCGTTTTATAAACCGTATATAGAACACTTTTCGGTTTGGAATATGGGCCATCTCTTCGCAAGATGGCCCGCGCTCTCGAGCCAGTACGTCACAGATAAGATTATTTTCGATCTGAGGCCTGAAGTGCTTCTTGCAGGTGTCTTTGATGTTCGCAATCGTTATCTCTTCGTGCTCAAAAGGCACGTATTTCTGGGGCCCTATCCTAGTGTATTTCTGCTGTTTGCCTGATACATCTGCACTCATTCTCTGCACTACTATTTCTTCCGCCACAGTGCTTTCCTCTCCTGTTTTCTTGCCTTTTCTCTTAGCCTTCTGAATGGCGGCATACCGCCTCCACTCCGCCATGTTGACGACTCACACAAAACGCGCGCATGGCTTTTTGGGAGTCATTGGTTTGGAGGCCTGGGGCGGGTCTGGCAGTGGCAGCGCTCGGCCACGCGAATAATTTACTTTCAATTTTACTTCAAACGAAAGTAAATCTTCGCATGGCCGAGCACTGCCACTAACTTCGTTTTCCATTCTCTTTTCAAAATTTATTGAATTTTAATTGACTTTGACTTCTACTTATATTCTGTTTTGCATTCTCTTTTAAAGTGCAGTCAATTTTAATCTGAATGGAGTTAACTTTGCATTTTAAATTTAATTGCATTTGTATTTTGATTGAGATTTTACTGGCATTTTGTTTTACATTTTATTGTATTTTTATTTGATTTAAATGTTATTTTCATTTTGTTTTACATTCAATCTACTTATAATAAAGAAAAAAAAGAAAAAATGTGCCGAAGACTCAGTGGCAGTTCTCGGCCACCATAGACCTGCTCATTAAAACCATCATGCGACTCCATGATTTCTGAAACTTCCTTGATTCCAATTGACTCTGTCTCCCAGAACTGTTTTAAAGTATCAACAAGGGCATCTTGGGTGTAATCAAACAAGCTGTTGCTTTTTCCGGCTGTAGTGAGGTTTGTCATGGTTGTTTCTTGATTGATAACGGATTCTGTTCGGCCTGACAATAACCAACCAAATTTGCTATTGACTGCAGTAGGACCAAGGTCTACTCGAACGATTTCACTTGTAACAAAATCCCAATAGTAGTCAGATCCGATGAGAACGTCTATTGAATCTTCGGAATTGGATTAATCAGCCAATTTGAGTCCATGTAAATGTGGGTAATTGTTCGCATCTACATGTGATGGAATAATAATAATGATATTAATAATTGCGCAGTCTAGCATGCGATAAAGATATGATCGAATGCGCATTACAACACTAAAATCTTAAAGTAATAACTGGCTAATCCAAATAATGATAATAACAATAATTATCATTTACAATTTTCAGAAAACAATAAAAGTAAAATATGGGTCAATAAAAGGACTAATAAAAAGCTAATTTAAAAAAATGTGTCTTTAGTAAAACTTTAAAAATGTTCAATGATTGACATTGCCTTATTTCTAGAGGGAGTCGGTTCCATACTTTGGGTGCAGCATTTTCAAACGCCCTATCCCCGAGTGTCTTTTTTGTTCTAGAGGTATTGTCCATTAGGAGTATGCCCCGGTGTGATCTCAACTGATACCGCAAGCCCTCTTTGATTTTTATCAAGTCTAAAAGATATTGTGGTGCAACGCCGTAGATACATTTGTGAACTAGCATTGCTATCTTGAATTCTATTCTGTGGGTAACCGGAAGCCAGTGCGGGTTGATCAGGGATTTTTTTTGGTTTTTTTTTTGTTTTTTTTTTTGTTTTTTTTTTATTAACAGAGATCTTTATTACCACTACATCACTTACAACACTTTCACTACAAAATTTAAGGTTACAAAAAATTACAATTAAGAATTAAGATTCCAACGATTAATACAACATACACTGCAACCAGGCTTGCTTCACGCATACGTAGATTAGATTATAATCATTTACAGTAAGGAGAGGAGAGGCTTCCATTGTGAAAGAAATTTTGCTTTTTGTCCTTTGGAATAAAAAATCGATCTTTGTACAATTAACTTGTCTTTAACGAATTCAAGAAAGTGATCAAAGCTTGGGGGTTTAATTTCGCTCCTTTGCAGGAAGATATGTCTCTTGCCAAGAAGGATATAATAGTTAAGGATTTGCCTTTTAGGATCTTCGGGATTATAGCCATACATTATACTTAAGTCATCAAATAGCAAACATTCACCACTGTGAGTTTTCCACCAGCTAATTACTTCAAACCAAAACTTTTGAATTACTATACAGTTAACTAGCATATGGGAGAGCGTTTCTAGGGAATCACAATGTATGCAGAGAGGAGAGTTTACGATTTTCATTCTGTGTAACAGAACCCCATGTGGAAGAATATTATGAACAATCTTATATTGAAATATGCTTAATTTTGTTTCTTTAGTTATTTTAAATGGAAGCATATAAATAGAACTAAGTTTGGAACTGTCCAA